TGTAAGCTGCTTTATCAGGATCCAAACTTGGTATCTTACGCTGCTGAAGAATTTGTAGAATTTCTTCTGTTTCCCCAAGAAGGAGAGCAGCTTGACGAACACTATTTTGCCTTTGCTTTTGGGAATTATGGTGGCATTTAATAGTTATGACATGTGGTAAATTGGTAAGGGAAGCTGCCAATATATCCGCAATCATAATGGATAAATGGTCAAACAGTCCCTCATCTGTTTCCATATTGCCACTGGCCAGCAAAATAGTTTGAGTGATCCGGTACATTGAGTTAGCAGCTATAATCTTTACTGGCCAATTCAGAGGGTTATCCATTAGGAAATCTTTTACTTCTTTGAGGAACTGCATAACAGTCCTTTCAGCTTCATGGGAAAGCTCTTCTAATATTTCCTTGGAGGTTCTGCCGTGGAGACTTATTTTGCGGAGATCCTTATCTTGCCACTTGCAATATAAATCAACTCCTACCCATACAATATCTGCCGCATTTCTGATGATTGCTAAAGCCCCATTTTCATCCAGGCTTTTCTCTATCAGATTTAACAAGGTAAGACCTTCCCCGACACACCTCACCAACTGATTAGCATTGTCATTTGAAATGTTGGGAAGTGCAATTGCGATGCATGTAAGAGTCACCACAGGTAGAGACCAGCTATTAGGAGGCTCCTGAGAATGTAAACTTGGAACTCGATTACTCTCAAATTCTCTCACCCCATTGAAGTTGTTAGATTTATGTAGAAGTTCAATTAGGTTGATCAGTTTCTGTCTTTTCCCCTTCTCCGTCACTTTGTCCACCTCATTCCAAATGTTTTTGAGGGTCTCTTTGGGAATTCCAGGCTCACCTGGAAGTAGAAGAACATAACGAGTAAGATCCAACTGTGCATTGCCACCTGATTCCGTTCCGCTGGTTTCATCAGAAGCACGAATAACAAATATTTTCAGCTTCTTGATGTGATGGAAGAATGAGGCAGAAATGAGAAGAACAAGTTTGCTAGCCCAAACCAATAGAATCTGTACTCCAAGACAGTAATTCAGAAGTAGTCTTCTTATAGCGTGAAGAAATTTTTTCCACTTGCGGTGTCGAACTTGTAAAGGTAATGAGCTTTCTTTCCAGTCCACAAGTCTCTGAATCCAGTAAGTCTCAATTTTAAACTCGTTTTTGAAGCTTTTCCTCCTTAAAGCTGAACACTTAAACCGGGCAGCAGTAAACCATCTGAATGCAGGGACAATAGTACCCAATGCCACTCCGATTGACTGAACGTATAGAATCCATTTGATTGACCACTTATAGGCCGAAGAAGTATCATCTCCTGGGTATGTTATTAGAATCCGAATATGAGCTTCTGCTAAAGTCAGAGCAATTAATACACACATCAAACCTGAAGCAGTGCAAGTCACACTACGCGACATTACAAACTGGGGGCATCCTGTCACTGCCATCACCCAATATTTTTTGATCACTAGTCTCAATTTGTCAACTGGAAATTTTGGCCCGTCCACTTTTTCTTCGTC